TGCTGAAGGACTTGGGCGTTCCTTTTCTTTTACCATCCCTGTAGAAAAGAACAGCTGAGGGAGACTCAGATGCACGGAACTTCCCCACATGTGATTTTAGTTGAGGTGAGCCACTTAGGCTCCTCCTGTCCATCTCTATCAGCCTTGGAGGCCCATGATAGCTAGACTCTGATGAGGACCTTGAAGAGGAAACATTAACATCTACATGGACTTTATTTTCAGTTTTCTTCTTGAATTTTAAAGTAAGAAACCTCTTAAAGGAAGATTTTTTTTTCTTGGAATACTTATCAGATGAGTCATTCTCTATCAAAAGTGAAGGGGAACTTTTAGTGATTGGCTTTTTGGTGATGTAGGCAAGTTCAAATGGAGGTGGTATATCAACAACTGAGGATGGAGTAGATATACCACATGGTAAAAGATGATTTCTCTGGGAAAAACTACCTGAGGAACCATTGACACACGGCAAAGACAAGCTGTCTTCTGTCCTTTTTATTCTACCATCATCCAGTACACAGCCATCACTTTCCCTGTAAACAGAGACAGGTATCTCTCTCCCTTCAACAGAATAAGATCGAGGATATAAAATGAAACGTCTTGACTTGGTTGGTACTGCCCTGTTGACTTCCATTGGTTTTCCTTCCACCGTAAATAAATTATTCCTGAAATCTGCTATGCCAGAGCCATTGCAGGAAGACCGTAAATCAGTTTCGGGTCCAGTTTCTTCTGGAACTGTTTCTGGGACATAGCCTGGCATTTTCCCAGACAGCGACCGTGTTCTAGTGACAATGCTTTTACGATCAATGGGCAGCAAGTTGTTTTCACCATCCATGCCTAATTCATCCCTTTTACTGTGATCAGCTCCTAAATCAGTCTGCCCATCATGAGCAATTTCATTTTCTGCAGGAAGCACATAAGGATCATCTAGGGAATCACTGCTAGTTTCTCTTTCCTCTGATTCATCAGGCACAATGGCTACTTTAGGGACAGCTAGATTTTCATGCAAGACACATTCTGCATTCATTTTATCATGCTTACAGATTTCTAACTCGTCCTCAAGTGGGATCTGTTGAGGTGGACTTGAGACACTTTTGCTGAGGCTGTTTGCTTTCACCTCATTGTTTTGAAGTTGCAGCTCATCTGACTCAGAGGTTTCTACAATACTTTCATTGTGCTCTTCAACAGTCACATCTTCCAGCTCTGGCTCCATCCCTGGACTAGTAGGTAGACTATCAGAGATCACATCATCTTCATCCAGAGAGGTCCCTTCCGTTTGAAGATTCTCTTCTGAATGTTCCATGGCTATTTCCTCACTCCATTCTTTCTCACAAGAAGCAATTTGACAGTCATCGTCTGTGTTTTCTGCATTCATAGTTTCTTCTTCCGCTTTCCCATAGTTTTGGCTTGCTTCACAGGCTACCTCTGATGTTTTCTCTTCACCTCTTCTCTCAGTGAGCTGGCAGACATCAATGGCATTTCCCGTGATTTTATTATTGTGCTCATCTGGGTCTGCTTCCTCCTCTTCAGCTGCTGCTTGATTGAAGGGCTCTCCTAAATAATCTTCAGCATTGATTTCATCTTCACATGGTTCTAGGCCAGAAGCTGTTTCTTCACTGGTCTTACCAGGCAGCATGTCAGGGCTTACACAGTCATCATTTTCTAACTCCCCTTCCATGTTCAAATCAAGCTCTGCATGGGCACAGTGGTCATGATCGTGTGCTAGACACCCATCTTCTTTTTCTAAAATCTCAGGCAGTTCTGTCTCCTTCTCCTGCCCTGCATTCCCACAACCTGGGGTTGATTCGTCTGCAGGTAATGGCACTACAATGGTATTTTCACAGGTATTGCCCATTAGTTCTTCATCTCTATTCAAAATGTTATCACTGTCAGTCTTACAATCACTATTGTCCTTAACCACTTCCAGGTTGTTAGAAGTTTCCCCCTTGTTTTTGGTTTCACTACAATCACCTAGGATATCCTCATCGTCATCTGCATTCTCAGAGGCATCATTATCCTCATCAGGGGCACCTGAGGACTCACAAAGTGCTTTGGACTGGTCACAGTCTCTGGGGGACTCTTCAGAGTCTGGTTCCATTGGTTCAGCAATATCTGAAGAGTTGGGGTGCTTATCTTCAGTGACTTCTTGATCACTGGTATCCTCATCATTAACAACGTTATCCTCTGCCTTCTCTACCTCTTCTGGAGTTGCCAAGACTTCATTTTCCAGAGAGGAATCTAAGTCGTTACAATCTTTGTTGGTCTGCTGAACTTCAGGAACTACAATGTATTCATTATCTGCCTCAGATTCTGAGCAATCAACATTGCATTGGTTTCCTTCACACAGCTCTCCATCAAAACATACCAGTTTCCCATTTGAGCATTTATTTAAGTTGTTGTTGGCATAAACACTGGATTTGCCCTCAGTGTCAACTGAGAATTTTGGCTTGGGAGCAATAGGTGGTTTAGGACCCCTAGACATAGAGTTCGGGTTATGAAGAATATCAGCCCTTGGCAGTGAAGGAGAAAATTTGGAGACAGCTACTGGAGAAAGATGTCCGATAATCTTTGGTTTCGGTGCTAGTGGTGGCTTTGTGATATCTGGAGTAAAGAGAAAAAAGCCATGTTAGTCATATTGGTTTCTTACTAAAGCAAGCAGAATTAACCTAGTTGATCTCCTACCATAGTGACTTCTACTGAAGAAGGAATCCAGCCAATAAGAGGCTCAGCTCTGAAAAGGGAACTGAAGGAGCAAACATATGCACTGTGCCTCCATGTGACACTGTAGTTACTCCAGGGAACATGGCTTAAGATCAAAACTGAACTGAGCTGAACTAGATGCAGCTGTAGCACATTTGGTGAGAGAAAGATGCACAGCTGCAGAGCCAAATGTGTATCATACACAGATATCCACAGATGGGTAACACCTCCCACGCTCAGAAGTACTAATGACCTTTAGTACTTCTAATTAGAAACCTTTTAATTCTGCCCCAGAAATCTGCCATAAGGTTAAGCAAGAATGCTGTGATTCAATGATGCTGAAGTGTTTCACTGCAATAAAAGAAATGCCTTTCAACCATAGTAGTTGTTCTTGTAACACAGTACAATGACTTTGTAGCAATGGTTTCAATTTCAATATGCAGTTTGCAGAATTTCAGCTTTGAACCAAATTAGTTCTACCAACAGATCAAGGTTGAACTCAACACAGCCAAAATGAAGTGAACACTTGGTGCTCAGACACAGTCTTCCCATCTGCCATTACCATGGTAACAAAATACTGAGTTAGATTTTGTTTGTCAAACAAAATCATGAGGGATAAGACGGTTTGCTAAAAGCTTGGCTAATACTTTACACTGATTAGATAGCTGAGCTATAGTGCACTGAATGAAATACTTCAACCCAAAACATGGAGAAAGTTACCAGTTTAAACTTAAGTTTTCAGTTTTCAGTGTATGCCTTCTTCAGTCCTTTATTTAGTCAAAAGGTCCTCCATCCTCCTATAAATGCTAGGACCCTTTGCAGGTACAGTGATCTCTGAACATAAAAATATACTTTAAAAGAGTGAATTATCTTGCAAGATAAGGCCAGTCAGGGTCTCTAAACTATTTCTAGTGGAGGTGCTGACACGTGTAAGGGAGTTCAAGCAGACTGACAATAAAATAGATTGAAGCTAGATGAATTAGGTCATATATGGCTATTTCAGTCACAGTACAGTTTACACGCCACAGCCACTTACAGCTGCCTCGGTCCTGAAATTAATATTCTTTAAATAACTACATGAAATGATGAAAAGCTGCATAAATAGGCAACAATAGGGATCCTCCCTCATGAGATTTTTGGATGGGATGAAATATGTGATGTGAAGAAGCCAACGCACCCAGTGGTTACAGATGGTAATAAAAGAAGGGTTTTGCTCTTACTAATGTTTCCTGGCTTTCAATAGGTAATTATATGGTTAATCAATCAGAAGTCTCTAATAATTTTAATTAACACATTCAAGTAGAAAAAGAGGAGCTCTACATTGTAAGGAAAAGCACAGGAAAACTATTTCACTATGAGAGAGAGGAGGAATTCTTCGTGCAACACACAGGGAGCAGCATCTCAAGAGACTCCATTTGAGACATGGTTCCTATAGTAACTCCTATCCTAAATCATGGTGTAAGTTTCAGGAAATGTAGCTACTATGCTGTAAAGTTTTAGTATTTTGGAATGAAAATTCTGACACCTGGAAGTGAAGACAATTAAATTCAGTAGTGCGCTACTCTGAGGATAAAGCAATACTGAATGCAAACTCTTTAAAAACAATTCTCTGATTGTTCTCATATTTAGTGTCATGGTACTTTTGTTATTATCCTAGTCCAGCTGGAGTAATTTCTAGTGAACTAATACTGGTGTGTTTGTTTGGTAAGATTCTGGGATATCTAAGAAGCTGTTTCTTCTGATCTTCTTAACCTCGTTGAAATTTCTTCCAGTATTCAGAAAGAAGCCGACAATTTGGCATTCTGATGTAGTCAGAAAACAGTCTTTCTAAAATTACGAGACACCAGAGAGATTTTATCTAAGTTAAAAACTGAATCAGTAATGTCAGCTCAGCCAGGAGTTAAAAGTCTTTTGTAATCAAACGCCTTATCACCTACGGTGATTCAGAATTACTCTGTATTTGGAATTTTATCCAATCCAGCTTCATGTGTGGGAGGCTTCAAACAACTTCTGGAAAAGGAGGGAGAGAGAACTGAGGATATGTCAGTCGCCGGTACTGTAGTGTGTGTACTCTTGTAGCACAGTATCCACTGCTGCTTGGAGCTGCAGGGCATCTGTCTAACAATTGAAATCACAGAATGGGCAGCTAATCTTTCCCTCCAGATTATTTTGGAAATGTTATGTGCCAAACATTTCACTGGCGCTAAAGTACCATTGCTTCTGTTGCAGCCAGCAGCAAGTCTGCAGCAGTTGAAGGCTGCAGAGTGCTCAAAATTGTTGGCAGTTAAAAACAGGGAGGGCATAGAATCATAGAATGGCCTAGGCTGGAAGGGACCTTAGAGATCACTTTAATCCAACCTCCCTGTCATGGGCAGGGACGCCTCTCAACTAGATCAGGCAACACATGGGGATAGAAGTGAGTTGAATATCTTGTAAGCCTGGCTCCCCAGCCAGATCTACCTTTCGGATTTTTAAATCAATTATTACAACTACTGAACATCCTAAACTAACTTTCTAGTAGTAAAATGCATGAAAATTTTGTTAGCTGAGACAGAGTCCTTTCACCTTTCCTGACAGAAATCAGCAATGGATCACTTACCACCATAATGAGGCATTTTTAGGACTAAGACCGAGGAAGAAACATCACTTTGGGGGTATTATACCACTTCCTGCCATGTCTGGCTTTTTCCTAGGAATGTCTATCCAAGAGCAGGACACAAACATACCTACTCCATTCCTGGGGTGGACAAGGCTTGAACACAGTCTCTGCATTCTTATCCTTGTTCTTTTCAGGCAGAGTGTCTGCACTGACACACTGAGTAATGAGAAAACACTTTCTCTTATAAAAAAATTTGAAATAAAATAAAGAACTTATTTTCTTTATGCAAAGCAACCATGCAGACATCCACTTAAAAAAATAGCTTAAAGACAGTTACCCTTTTTTCCTCCAGTGACAGTTTTCTACATCAAAAGGAGTCAAGTAATCTTGAGGTTTTCCTTCCGATACCTTTAGTAACATTGCTAGTTGAAGAGAACTTACGGTAATGGACTCTGTTCATAGTATGGTAATAATAGGCATTGGTGATGTCCTAGTCTTACCCACTTGTGGCAGCTACTGGTCACTACTGATTCCTTCCATAGTTTTTTCCTTATCTGCTCTGTGTATTGATGTTGCCTTTCACAAGGCTCCTGAAACAATTTCCCTTTTTTTTTTTTTCTGGGAAGCGGTGGGGCAAGGGGGGAGCCAGTGGGAGGAGTACAAGTGTTTGTTTAGAAAAATAACCCAAACAATTACTGAAAAGAAAGCACCACTGTTTGCCTTTTATCACAACAATTTCATTCTCCTTCAATTTCTGCTTCCTTTGCTCTCTGAGGTACTTGAAAGGTTCTGGTGGTAACTTCTAAATGGACACGGAACAACACTGTGCCATAAAGAATGTGTATGTTCACAAATAATCGTGCATGTTTATTTTAGGATGTGTTTTATGTTGGAGGGAGACACACCCACCTCGTGCTTAAAAGGAAACTCTTGGAGAATAGGAATTTCTTTAGCCTGCTCCTCCCCTTATTGTTCGATGCTTCCTTGTACTGACAAGGACCGCTTCCTCTCCTTACCCACCTTCCTTAGGGCAAACCTGCATTTCAGCATGGTTTCATTCCTTCCATAGCCTATGTGAAATTACATTACTCTCCTTCCCTCCAGGTTTCTAAGCAGTGACACAGCAGCCTAGCAGCTCTCCTGGAACGGCAATTAACCCTTAGAGACTTCACTGTTCAAGTGTTTCTTTGAAACAATAAATATTTTGTAGTGGGGTATTGCTTGTAACACTGCAGCTACCCACTTTCAAATGTTCTCCAGATTTAGGAATTAGCCTAGAATTTAATTAAGGCTTATAAAGGGCCATATCTACCAACACCACCACCTCCATCAAGCAGCTGGTTTTGGGGCAAAGATGTAATTAAACACTGAGATTTCACATTTGCAGGGATATTTGTAGACATGTCTCAGGCCCATGGTCTTTGATGGTGGCCCAAGAAATGGCTTAGAATCATAGACTCATAGAATCATAGAACAGTTTCCGCTGGAAGAGATCTTGAAGATCATCAAGTCCAACCATTGTCCCAGCCCTATCAACACCACTAAGCCATGTCCCTCAGCACAACATCCACCTGTCTCTTAAACACCTCCAAGGATGGCGATTCAGCCCCCTTCCTGGGCAGCCTGTTCCAACACCTGACGATCCTCTCAGTAAAGAAATTCTTCCTAATATCCAATGTGAACCTCCTCTGGTTCAATTTAAGGCCATTTCCCCTCATCCTATCACTTGCCACTAGGGAGAACAGACCAACCCCCGCCTCGCTACAACCTCCTTTCAGGTAGTTGTAGACTTAGCTCCACATTGCAGATACTAGTTCCAGCCTTGGATGATGCCACAATCCGGTCCAGGCATCTCTTTAAGATGCTTTAAAGTAGCTTTTTCTGACAAACGAACTTCTATGGACCTGTATTTTCTTCATGCCTTTGGCATTAATTCAACTCAGACATATGTTAAAATGGGAGAGACATTAAGGATGTAGGACAGAAATGCACTGCATAGTTCAGGGATCTGCAGAGCTTTTGGATGGAAGTGACAACGGTCAGGTGGAGGGACCACATTGCAACAGTGGGGTGAAGCTGCACCAAAACCAGAATCCCAGTAGAAAACACTGCACACAAGTCCTGTCTCACAGCTTCTGCCCAGCAAGAAGAGGTTGTAATGCACAGATGGAAAGTGATTGAGAAACAGGAGGTAGAGAGAGAATACCCAGACAAGGGCATCAGAAAGTCTTGTTCAGCTCTGATCAGGAGCTGTCTCATTTCACTCAGCTATATCAGAATAAACTTGTCTTCTAGAA